GTGGCCGGTGAAATCTCTGAACGAATACAAAAGCCTCGGTTGGCTTCCACCAAATTACGCCACCTATGGCGCCACCCTGATATCCGATTGTCTATTAAGGGCCGCGTGTACTACACAGCAGTCCGCTCTGTCCTACTCTATGGCTGTGAAACATGGCCATTGGAGGTGGAAGACATGAGAAGGCGACTTCAGGTGTTTGACCCCGGTTGCCTTCGTAGTGTAGGCCGTATTCCGTGGTGTCACCATGTGAGTAATACAGAAGTCAGGTGTAGAGCTTTAGGCAGAAGTCGGTTGATGCTGTTGTGAACCTTAATCGGCTGAGATGGTTGGGACACGTGTTACGTATGCTTAGTCGCCGTCTGCCTAGTGACACAATGTTGGTCGAAGTAAGTTCAGGCTGAAAAAACGTCCGAGGCAACGAGAGTAAAATACAGCATTAGTGGATGAAGTCGTTGACTAATTGTTTGGGCCATGTGGGGCGATGTAGAATAGGCGGTTGGGGTCCACGGGACAAGAGAAATCAGTGGTTAGAGACTGTAGGTGGTATGCCTCAGAACCGATGTCATTGGCGCAGACGTATCCCCATACACATTGTCCTCATCTTAAAACTATACCGAATCTCACCATTTTCTCATTCTCCCTTTCTCTCTTCTCGTACTTTATATTCCCTTTGACTGAATTTTCTTATCTTCATCTTCCACTTCACTGCCCTTTTGCTTGATGTACTGATATGAGGTGTCGCAGCAACTCGGACTGCTACGCAGTAATGCCTGGTCCTATGTTGATTTGGGTGGATGAATGAATTTTTCTGAATAATTCAATTATTCCTTGTTCCCGTTATCAGGCAACAAAAAAGACACAGTGACTAGGTGGTCCATTTACATTCAATAGAGGACATGACACGCTAAACATAATTAGAATTGTAAATCGAGAAACAGTGACCATAACAGGTGTCACAATCAAGTGACTTGTAACGATAACACGAATTTCAAAAGCAAAATCACATGTTCCAAACATACACGTCGTGGTATGACACTAAACATATTTAAACAGCACGTAAAAATTTTACAACAATGACTAGTCAATCTAGGCAGTGTAAAAATTCTACTGCTAAACTTGAAGGGGGTGGAACAATGGTATAATAATAATAATCTGTGCCAAGATTCGGTAATTTTTCAGATGACCTTGAGCCGACCAATCAAAATCATGTGAGAGTAATTTAATCGTGCTATGATTCCATTCCATGAAGAAAATGACAAAAAAAAATTTTTTTTAATCAATTGTTTCAGACACTTTGTAATTCGCCTACAGAAGTATGTTTTCTTTCTATTTTTTCCGAAAATGATAAACACTTAGCTGAACTCTTGAAAAGGTTTTGTTTTCATTAGTTAAAAAAATAGTAATAAATTATACTTCTCATGAAAAGAAGGATTACATAAGAAAATGAATAATTTTGTTTACAATTGAATCTATATATGCTTTGCACCATTGAAGTGTAAGATTGGCAGGAGCTTGTGCCTACGCTCAACCTTGGCAGAAGTGGAAAAGTTTGTGTACCTGGGCAGTTGTAAGAAAGTTGGTGGAGGTGTGACTGACGAAATTTCTAACCGTATATCGAAAAACAGAATGTTATACACCAGTCTGGGTCATCTTTCGCACTATCGCGATGTTAGTCTGACCGTAAAAGCTTCGATGTGAGCAGTTCTGCTCTATGGCTGTGAAACCTGGCCTGGCACCACGACTCTGTGTATTCGATCGCCGTGTTCTCCGTAAGATTGCTTGTATCCTGTGGCGACACCATGTAAGTAATTCTGAGGTATCACAGTGTGTGTTTGGGAATGATGAAGGTCGTCATCATCCAATAAGTGAAGACATCTGGAAACACCGGCTTCAGTGGCTTGGATATGTGTTACGCACGTCGTCCCAACGGCTTCCATACTGTTTGCTAGCCCTGTGACTGGATGGAAGAAGTGGAGGTGGGGTGATCAGTGTACAACGTGGCGCTGTGGGATGAAGGATAGTTGTAACGGGTTCGTGCCTGCTGGTGCATCACGACTCTTTAAATGGGGTCCAAGCGATCACCAAAGTCACTAGCTTGAGACGTTATCAGATATGGCTCAGAATTGTAAACAGTTATTAGGCTTGGGTGGGAATGACCGAACCATCTATATGACATAATCAAGAAGAAGCTTGCTTTCCTAAGTCTTGGTTTCAAAGGTGATGATGTATCATGGACAATTAGTGACATGATAAATGCTGCCTTAAAAAGGACTTATCCACCTGCCAGGTTAATCACACTCTAATGAACGAGCTGCTCACTGAGACAATCAAGGATTGACAGGTTCACTCTTCATGTTACCTCCAGCTGGATATGGCAATTCACATGTACATTCCAAGGCACAAACACTGGACGAACAGAAAGAAGGGTTTGTGACTGCAAGCCTGAGTATGCTCTAAGGAATTCGCGACTGAGAGGTGGAAAATGCTATATACCCTTAATTTTGTCTAACTTTTGACCATATTCTTATCACTGATGTTTTCGTACCGCTGCTAGCTTTTGTATTTCCCACTACTTTTGAAGGATGAATTCTTATTCGCCGTTAACTTTTTCAGCCTATCAGTGAATTTAGTATTGTCAAGGTCGTTTAGAAATGTTTATGTTCAGCATCACTCTCAACTGTTTTGACTGGTCAGTATATAACTAAGTTATAATATAATCCCAGCGTGTTCAGAAAATCAAGATTTTTAAAAAGCTTACTTATATAATGATTAAACCTGACTCAGAGCTCAACTTCTTTCAAGACAGTCGTAACAATTATGACTGTTGTTGAGAAAGTAAAAGCTCTCTGTCAACGGTCGATCTTCTCTCCTTGTCTTTGCGTGTAGGTGATATTGTTGTTGTCACGCTTGGAGTTCTGATTAGAGTTTAAAGTTGATTCGTTTGAAGGTTAGGTTTGTATCACTCGTAGACTGTTAGGTCCCACTACCGGTTATAGCAAATTCATGACGGGTGTATTTTGAAACGGATCCATCAGGCTTGGAGAAACTGATGGAGTAGCAGCTTAAAAGCGATGGAGTTGCTTGTTGGTTTACAGGTATCATCCCCAGTCGACTCACCTTCAGTCAATAACAACATCGGGAGCAGGATATCAGAACTTGTCTATGACCCAAATGCAAACATAGTGTTCGATATATGGTTTCGCAGATAAGAAGACCTGTTCAAAGAAGACTAAACGAAACGGAGACCATGCATGAAAAGTTAGACTGTTCCTTCGGAAGTTCGGAGAGCACGAATTGGATAATTTTTGCAATCTGATCTTGCCACAGAAACCTAGTGATGGGAAGTCCGATGAGACCGTGTAGACACTTTGTCATCAATTTGGTGAACACAAATCGATATAAGAACACAGCTGTTGAATAGATTAGAACACGATCCACCAGTGACTTTGAAAGATATTGGAAAATATCGGACATTGACCAAGACAGCATCTTGATCCAGTCCGGCGATCAGAGTAGAGCGAAAGTGTATCCAGTACTGTAGAAGTCGAACTTAACATATCAGAAACCATAAACATCATGCTGGCACTCAGGCACTTGGTACTAGGTAAAATCATGCCCATCCAAACACCAGAAATGCCGACGATGCCATATCGATGAACATAAAGATGGTTACTGTAAACAGACCCCATCAACGTAGCATATCAAGTCGATTCGTTTGGGCGTTAAGTTCGTAGCGTTCATAGACTATTGAATCGCATTATCGATCATAGCAGAAAAGTCTTCACAACAACGTTATCTCTCATCACCTTACTGATAGTGAACATCAACTCGATATTCAGAGATCGTTCAAAATAATTAACAAGCAGGTGAATTCAAATTTGTTGCGTTTCGCTGAAGCGAACTTATGTGTTCAGAAAGAAACAGTTATCGGCGTGTGCCTACTTTGTATGATAAAGACTTTTATTTTGTTGACAATTATCAGGCTTTTTTACATATTCATTGTCGATTTATACAAGTTGGGTTTTTTTGTTTTCGTTATTTTACATTCCAAACGCTTGACCTAATTATCTGAATTCTGTTCACATTCGCTCTTAGTTAACATAAATGCTATGACCTTCTTTTTATACATTTAATGTAACCTTTCTCAAAATTTTGAATACATTTGTCTCCCACTCCTATCCAACTTCCGTTGTAGAAGATTCGTCTAATTCTTCCATACATTAGCTAACTATTAGTAGTTCTGTATCATTATTTATTCACTTAGGGGTTTTTTAATTACGCCACATAGATATTATCTTTAATTCAAGCCAAAAATTTTCTACCAAACTGATCTGGGTAAATTTCGTCCCATTTTGGGCTCGTCAGCTGGATATACTTGTCTCCAAGTCAGCGATGTTGTTCACACTAGGATTCGGACTCGAAACCGATCGCTTCAAATGTCAGAGCGTTATCTACTAGACTACTGAGTCACGATGGCCACTTCTTGTGCGACGGGTATCGTCTTAATGTTGTTGCTTGTATTATCCCATCGTTGAGTGGGCCGAATTGATCGGTATCTATTAGTATATGGGCTTTTCCACGGATACCCCGATATTGCCTATGTTTCAATTACATATTAGTGATGGACAGTCCTGGTGGGAACAACATCGCTCACTGAGAGGCAGCTATTTCGAGCTGACGAGTCCCAAATAGAACAAAACGTGGGTCCAGATGGATTCCATTGCTAGACCCTATCCATCATTAATATGTATAATTGGAAAGCAGGCAATATTGAAGTATCTGCGCAGGAGTTCATATGCTAATAGAGACCGATCAATTCGGTCCACTCATTGACGGGATAATACAAATAACAACACTTATGTAACCTGATGATAAAGTTGTTTTCGGTTGTAAACAGCTGATGAGAAACTGCGAAATGAGAATGGATCCATGCTCCGCGTAAGTCAACGAGTAACACTTCTACGAATGAATAAATAAATAAATGTTAAGTGACTACTTACACCAGTTCGACTTCCGATTGTTGAATTTCCACCTGAGGTAACAACAACACCGCCATTGGCTGCGCCTTCATTGATATTAGATAAATTTGGTGCAACTGTACTGCTTAGTTTTGCTTCAATTTTACGTGCTACAGTCTCAGATATCCTTTGAACAGTTGTTGGATCAAGCAATGGCTTATCATAATTCATAACTTTTGAAGCAGCAATTAATTCATTATCTCTTGTTATCACCATACCATCTAAACTACCAACAGATATAGTACGTTGACGTCGTTTCTCTTCAATTATACGTTGCATAATTGATCCTCTAAGAAAGCGATAGAGAGAGAAAGCAGGAGAGAAGGATAGGGGGTGAAAGAAGAGTTACAAAGAAGGAAACGACATTCTGATATGATACAGATTCATATGCGTCTAAGATGTAAAATAATAATGCAACTTAATCATCGTATTTATCTCAGTGAATCAGGTTGTTGTTTACAACTTGTTACTTACAGGTTAGTGTGTTGTAACTTGATACTACAATTAGACACATCCGTTGGGTAAGTGTTACTCATAGTACCTATTTGTTTAAACTACAGTGCGTGGAGTAGGCGTTTCATTCTGTGACCCATCAGTCAGAAGTTTGGTATCTAGACCAATGAACTGTAGCTTGACTGGTACCTGGATAACTACACTAGACTAAAAGATGCCACTTAAACTCGATAACTGTTTCGGTGATTACGGGGGGGGGGCAACATGTGAATCAATGTGTAAGTATCAGGTTGGATAAAGAGATGAAAGACCAATACAAAAATACACTTTTTTGTTACTATACCACTTTTTCCATCTGTCGCAAAACATAGTGACCAACTGCGGGTGGAATTTTAAGGTTATTTGTCCAAGTGTCCGCTCACATATATAACTTGGATTATACCAAGTAGCCGCCACAAGAATATAACAAGTTAACACAGAGAATATACAAAAGTGGTGACGGGGATGGGATTTTTGACAGTGAAATGATTATTATCGTGCTACAGTATCCTTCTAGAATCCTGAAAGAAGTCTGAATATCCTCAAAAAAGCCTTCACAGCCAATTATAACATGTAGAACCTTCAAGAAAAATCACATGATCATATGTGTGAGTCAGATTGATCGAGGAGCTCCCTAGAAAAGTATAGAACTTTCAAAGGACACCAATAAGTGTATATAAACCGTTAATTTTTGTATATATCCGACTGGACAATAAATCTTCATCGTTTTTGACGCTTGTTTTTTGTTTTCGAGGAACTGAGCGACCATCGCGGTTGAAGTCCACGGTTATTGTTCAAGAGTTCACCCTTAGACAGCTATATATGTACATCTATATTATTAAATCCTGAGTTTTTCAAATTCGTTGCTTGTTTTAAATTTATATCGCGAAACAAATGTATTCAATATCTATGTCTAACATAGGGATATATCAATAACTTAGCTCAGTATTCGATGCCCTTGACTCATCAAGGTAAGAAATTATCTACAAGCCTAACTGAACCAAATTGTTGAAGACCTGCTAGCATTAAATAGTTGTTTCGTTCTAGTATGAAACTCCTCAGCAGTATGCATCCGGGACCTTCAGATTTCGTGACCAGCACGTTGCCATTGAGCTACTGGGTCAAAATATGAACCGTTGTATCCCAACTCATTGGCCTAATAGTAACGTGATGGTCGCGGAACCTGAAGATCCTGGATACGCGCTGCTGACGAGTCACATACTAGGATGAAACGGCTGTCCAGTGCTAGCAGGTCTCCAATGCCCCTCCAATTATTGTCAATCCATGATGAATACCAACCTGAAATCAATAAACGAATCCCTACAGCTCTCCAAATCGAAGAAATGATTATTCAAGAATTAAGGGGAGGGGTAATAGAATGGTAGATGGGATACAATTCACACCCACAATGTACTGATTCAACATTGGATATTTGTTAAGGCATGGAGTGTCACATATTATGAATTGTTTATCTTATGTTAAAAGTCAATCATACTACTCAGTTGCTAAGCTAGAAATAGGATTTTTCTTATCATACACAAATGATTTGGAAAGGTGAATTGTGAATTCAGTATGAAACTATACTTATCTCAGCAATCATAAAATCAGGTGAAACTGTCGAAAACCAATGGATCATTTGAAAGGCACGAATAATTCACATTCTTATTGGTCAAAACCTGGCTTCATAAGTCATAAGTTAGTGATTATAAGGAAAGGATGACAACAACAGCCATTTTATATCTAATCAGTAAGGAATGGAGTGAACATTTCAGGTCAGTAGACCAGTTCACACTTTATGGACGAAAGTCAGTAGATATAACTAACAAATGAGCCTCAGAAACATGTGAAGAGACGCTGATTCCGAATTCAACTTCTGGGTGCTATAGAATGTGAAGGTGTTCAGTGGAATATTTCCCTTCCTTGTTACGAAACATGATTACACTTGTGTTACGTGGTTGGAAGCAATCGGTAAGAAGATGGTGAACCAGGAACGTCTCTGATTATAACACCAAGGGTAACGTTGGTTCGAATGTCTCAGGGGACATTAATTCCCTCGAGTCTGTAGGTATGCCTTACTGACGACAGGTGTCAACAAGCACAACAACTGGGTCATCAACCAGGCCTCCCAACCGATTACCTTAAACCACCCAGCATTCATCAAAGTGGACCACGATGGTTAACCTCCTAGTTTGATGATCACATCACAAACTGATCTACAGAATTCACTAAGCAGTAAGGATTAAATCAAATGAGACTGGATACTCTCCAGTACCCGATCCTGTTGACGAAATATATATAGGCGGCAGATTACAAAGTTTTTAAATGTGGCTTGTTCAGTAAGCCTAAATAATAGCAAGTTGACACAGTGACGGCAAAGGAAAGCTAACTGACATTTAAGGTATATACACACTCCGTGACTAATGATTGTGACCTTAAATTGCCTTAAATTCATGACTGGTCATCTACAAAATGACCCATAATTGTGTTTATTTTTCATTACATATTTTATCGACAAAACAGAAAGGGAATTTATTTATTTATTTAACTGGGAAGCTGTTTCGTTTACCCATGAGACTCCTCAGCAGTGCGCATTCATGACCTCAACCTGCCCGGGGTCGAACCCACGACCTTCAGGTTCCGCAGTCAGTATGTTACCACTGAGCCACCGGGTCGGCGGAATCCAATGGTCCATATTTTCTACTTCTGTTACTTTATGATGTAGCGCCACCTCCATCAAATGTCGTCACTGAGTAAGTGTTTTCACATCTAACTTGGTTCGCCTCATGGATCACTACTTTTCATTAGGACTTCGGGAATCTCATCTTGAAGCAAGTTACTAATGAATATTAGAGTAGTTCAATTTGGAGGTTTGTCAAGATTTATTCAGTGAAACTGGGTTGGTGTATTCATCGTGGACTGATATCAGTTGGAGGAAAATTGAAACTGGACAACAGCCGTATCGTCCAAGTATGGTACACAAACTAGGACCCATGCTATGACGAGACAGGTATCCAATCCTTCTAGGTTTTCAACAGTTTTTCAACTGATGTCAGTAATTGATACATAACATCCTGTAAACAATAAGTTTAAATGTGTTTATATCAGCTAGAGAATGGGTTATAAACCAGGAGGTAGTGGATATGTAGTTTGACTTCGTTTAGCAATTTCACAGGAGCGTAAAGTCACGTTTATATTCACTTTACTATTGCCAAATGATAAGATAAATCTGAGTGATTTAGTAAGCAAAGAGCTGTGGCTCAGTGACTTCGGGAGATGACTATCAACTAATGGGGTACGGGTTCGAACCCCATTTCACCTACCAAGGTTTCAGGAGGCCAGGTAGTATCACTAGCCCATCATACACTACAGATGTGGCTCATTGCCTGAAGTATAGTTGTTCACAAGGTAGCTGGGAGCGTTTGGTTCGTTCAGTTTAGTAATCTTCTGACATCTGAACAGCAGAAAAGTGTATTCCCCACTCTGTGATCATACCTTTTTTGAGGAGAAAGGAATTAATCATGGACAAAATGAACACCCTGAACCTTCAGCAGACCAAGTGGCGTTCTCTGACATATTTATCATGCCATGAAGATATAAACAGACAAATATACAATGTGATATTAAGCTATTTATTGATATTTGTAATTTCGCGTCGCTATACTAGGTCGAATTGCTTGACTTCTGCTGGTAGATGGGCTGTTATATGAATGTCTCGATACTGTCCGGATATCCATTATGTAGCAGTGGAATCCAGGATGTAGGTGTCGTTCTGAACCCCAGAGAGGTTATTCATATTGTTCCCACTGAGACTCAAACACAGTAACCATCGATTCGAACGCAAAAGTGCTGACCGTTATGGTTCGGGGTTAGAAGCAACGACTACCGGTTTCAACATGATAGTTAGCTAGTTTCAGAGATATGACTAAAACCTTGTGTCATAACCACTTCATTATCAATATCTATTTATACTGAGTGATAATTGAAGGTGAGATGAAAATTTAGGCCGCGGCTGGATTCGAACCAGCAACTATCGGGTTTCTGGTCCGATGCTCTACCAGGTGAACTACAAGGTCCAGAAATTTCGACCACGGTGGTCTCTGGTTCAAATTTTCATTTCACCTTCATTCATCACCCAGTATCCATACTATTCTGCCAAACCAAGGCTATCTCAGCTAAAATGATAATCAATAGATCTATGTTGACATGATGAAAAATTCTTTCTATCAGCAATATTCAAGTAAACTGTGATCTATTCAGTAAAGAAAGAAAATGAATTCATGTGATTATGAAGATCTTTCCATCAACATCAATCCACAATGATTATTCCCCTTCCTCAGAATCGACATGTCTTCTATTCACTTATTACTGTTGTGTTTTTCTTGTGAAACAGTCAGTAATCAGCTGGTTTATGCTTATGACTACTGGCAGGTCATAGCTTAATACATTAATCTGTTGCAGATTGGTGAACTGGATTTTTGCTAAGTCAGTTAGCATGAGGTTCTTTGTCTTTAAGTACTGTAATTTCACAATAAAAGATCTACTGTAAGGGATATTTATTACAATTTCAACATGTTTCAAAATAAGGTAGTTTCAACGTTTAGGACAGAAGTCTGGTTCAAGTTTCTTTTGGGAAATAATTACAAATTATTATTTGTCCTTTGGATTCCTAGTGGAACATAGGGCTTCACTAGCACAGCGCCATTTCACTCCCTTTCTTCTCTGCGGCATTTTCAAACTGGTGCCACGAGTGACCATAAGCTTTCATTTCTTCCTCACACCATCTCCTCCATGTCACCCTCAGTTGGGACACCCACTTCATCGTTTCCCATGCGGGTTCCATTCGACTGCCTGGCCTGGCGCGTGATGTCACCAATCGGTCTTCTCAGTCTACGCCCAATCCAATCCATCTCCACTCTCTTCTTATATATATATATATATATATATATATATATATATATATATATATATATATATATATATATATATATATATATATAGGGGGATAGGTTCTTGCTCCGTTGTTTCATTGTCAGAGTGAGTTCCTTGTTACTTATTCTTTCTGGCAATCCATCTGATCTTCAGAATCGAGTGAGTGTAGAAGGCAGCTGTCGACAATATATGTCTGTAGTTTGTTGGAAATGCTTTTCGCAACGCCCCAAGTCTCTCAACTATCATAGAGAAGCATTGGCCTGACTGAAATTAGCAGTGTTCAAAATCCGGATCCTCTTCTTTATGCTGAGTGCAGTGCAGTGTAGTGCAGTAGATCTCCACACTGATTTCAGATTAATTCAAGAAGGCCTGTCTTGCTTTTCCGATCCTGGCTTTGAAGTCCTCGTCTGTGCTGCCTGTATTTGAAACGATGCTGCTTATCTAGGTAGGTAGGTGAGAGACAACTTCCTTCAGATTTCTCCCCTTCATGGTGATTGGTGCTTGTTGTTGTTGTTGGTTGGGTGTCTTCATCACATCTATCTTCTCTACGTTCACCTAAAGGAAGTACCGTCTTCCTTGGCTGCCCTGACTCGCCTCGCCTCTTCTGTCAACTTGTTAATTTCCGCCTGTAGACCTCCTGGTTCGTGCGGCACTAGACATAAATCATCATTGGCAAAATCCAAATCGTATAGGGTCTTTTCGTCGGTCCAGCGTATGCCCATTATCTCGTCCATCACAGTTTCTTGCATGATCCAGTTCAGTCCTGTCTAGTCGACCATAATCAGGAAGATCATCGGTGATAGTAGGTGGCAAGCTTGTCTTACATAATCATAAATAAAGCGATGAGGTCAAAAATCGTGTAGTTTATCTCAATTTCCAATCTTGTTTGAATTATGATTCTTTACTAAACATGAACATTAGTCATTCATTGTAGATTGATATCATACAGTGAACAAATGTAGGCAAATGTGCGTTGTACTTCCGATATAAGCTTTAAGAGATAACATAGGTCATCATTTTGACTATCTGAGATAGCAGTCGTAGTTTGGGGGCTAGTATTTTTTTTTATACTGGGTGATGATTGAAAGTGAAGTGGAAATTTGCACTGCGGCTGGATTCGAACCAGTGACTCTACAGAGTTTCCGGCCCGGTCTGACCCCTGATCAGATTTTTATTGCACTTCAATCAGTCAAGGTTTTGCCCAACGACTATCATGTGAATTCATGACGCTTTACTACCAGTTGATCATACTCATTCTGGCTGTCCAATCGGGACTTCTCATCTCAATCCAAATATACTTGGATTAGAGGGGGGGGGGTTCAAATTTTCAGTTCACCTTCAACCATCACCCAGTAAAATAGGGGTCACTGGTGTTATGACAGTCGATGTTTGAAGAATATGTACTTTTAGGAAAAAATTGTGCTTGAAATAAGAAAATATGCATGTCATGATTATAGTTTGATGGGCTAAGGGCTTTGATATTTTATAGCGAATGTTTCACTGCCAGGCTTGATGACATCTTCAGCAGTAATTTCAAGTGTTGATAAAATGAAGGATCTTCTGAACTAAACTCATTGAGTAGAAGTCTGAGTATGTTTGGCATGCGTTTCGCTCATACCTACCAAATGTAAGACTGACTGGATGGGGAGCGAAGTAATGCATTGCATAGACCAGTTCACTTTCTTGGGGAGTTGGATCATCCGAAACAGGCTTACGAGTTGCTAACGAAATCTCAGCTCGGATGGAGAAGGCCCGTTTGGCATTTGCCAACTTGTGTCATCTGTGGTGCCGACTGGCAAGATATCCAAATAGCTATCAAAGAACGAGTATACTGCCCTGTAGTCCGTTCTACCTTTTCATACGCCTGTAAGATATTACCATTAAAAATCGAAGACATGAGGCGGTTACAGGGTTTCGATCATAGTCTTTGTAGCACCACTCGCATTTGGTGGGATCACCGTGTGACCAATAATGAGGTTAGGGGAAGAATACTTAGCAGCAAGACAGGCAAGTCAACTTATGAAATTGTGAAGCTTCACCACCTGGGATGGCTTGGAGATGTATTGTGTATGCTGATCTACCGCCTAACACGACGTGCCAAGCTATGGGAAGCTGGATTAGGTTGGGAGTGGATTCAGGGTGGTCAGACTGATGATCTGCGCAGTGTAGGGAGATGTGAACCGCCTGGTTAGGGTCCCTGAGGAGAAAAGAATCAATGGTTGGCGATTCTTGGTGACATGGCTGAAAATTGGTCACAATGATGCAGATGCGTTAACTCCGCGATGTCTTCTAAAGCTTGAATATTTGCACTAACCTTTATCTTCAAGTTGTTTTATTCTCTTACTCAACTTTGTCTACTGTGATACCACTCTACGTTGATTTCGTCAGTCAGTTAGACTAACTTCATATCAAATCTCAGAGCGTATCATATCACCATCAACTTCATCCTGAGCTAAAAATCGTTTCCATCATTTAAATATGTAGGTTATTTTTACTTTTAGACGAAATGGAATGGAATGCACTCAGCAACTTTCTGCACGTTTTTCCAGTAACCAATGTGCTAAACTTATTGTGTAAGGGCCAGTAATTATACTACCTGGCTGATATGTAGCGACAAAAGGTAGCCAATAGGGGAGTTTTCAAGTCATGATCAGATCATGATTTATGCATGAGCTGACATGAGGACCTGTTTGGAGAAATTCGACCTTATACAAGAAATCTGATTGGTTCATTTATGGCTTCACTTCCTGAGAGTTTTGTAATTACATATATGTCATGTATTTGTCTAATAAAAGTTGTTCTCGCTGTTCTTGCAGTCGCAGGCAGTCTTTTGTCTTCTGGTTTTTCCGTGGCTCAGTGAAGCAGAAGGTACTGAGGGAGGTCAGTCGTAAAGGTATTCGGTTGAGGTGTCTATTGAGTCTTAGTATTCATTATACCCACGCGTGCAACCCCACCACTCGGTCACAACACTGGCTCCTGTCCAAACCTCAGTAGGTGGAGCGGGAGTTGGACTCATCACCCATTGGTTGAAAGTCATCTCCCTAAACCAATGAGTTATGCCTCCATGAAATACAGAATGAACGGGAATTATTTATTTTAAACAATCTTAAAGTTAACATGACTTATGATTTGACTATCTAAGACAACCGTAGTTTGACAGACTGGTATTTGTACCGGGTGATGATTGAAGGTGAGATGAAAATCTAGACCGCGGCCGGATTCGAACCAGCGACCACCGACATTCATATAAAAGAACGATTAGTTCATCCAGTACAATCATCAAACAATTAGCATAACTAGGCAGATTAATAGACTATGAAATAGAACTTACCGATAGACTATAACTCGACGACTAGGAGCTCTTTTACGATTAGTCATTCTACTAGATCCAGAATTTTGATTAACTGACCGATTACCAGTTAAAGCATTCGGTCGAGAATTAACCATGCCAACACTAAGTGGTGTTCGATTATTTTGATGAAAAGAAAATGTTTATGCTGTCGTCCATTTCTTGTTTGATTAATTTGAAGATGCATACGACCGGTTTGATTAGAATTCCGTCGACTGTTAATCATACCACCACCGCCAGCACTTGGATCTAGACGATATTCAGTTGTCTGATGAAATCCAGCCTTATTGTTATTATTTAATAAAACAGGATTGACAAGAGAATGCTTTTTCATGCCAATAGCCTGAGCTGTAGCAGCAGCTTCAACAGAGGCTAAGTATTTGCGTCGTCTAGCTTCTAATAAAAGTCGTTCTGCTTCTGCACGACGTAATGCTGCTGTTCGACGTGCAGCTTCTCGAGCTAAACGTTTAGCTTTTTGTGCTTGAGTTATTTGAAAGTGAATATCCCACGGTCGAAATAATAAAATAAGTGTCTAAAAAGGAGAAGAAGAAGAAGAATAGATCAGTGTGACTGAATTCCACTTACCATGTTATTATTGAGGAGTATACTTCATTAGTTGAATGACAACTTTAAGTCAGATGTTATGATCCATGATTTTCACTGAGTTATACATAAGAGAAATCTTGTTGATACTAGATTTGAAGACTTATGATACTACTCAGCTGTGAGAAATGCTTATGTGGACCGTGGATTCATGTATAGTTACCTAATACAGGATGAATCTATGACAGTCAAGGTTTTATGGTGGCCATAGCAAAGATAAAGGTTGGACATATATTTTTTTGGACGCATTACGCTGGTTTGAACTTCTGGATGGCTAGTACTTCAGCTATAGACAAATGCCCTGATCTTACTCACTTCAAGTGGTTTGATCAAACCCTGTAGAGAATTTCGAATGAACTGTCAAAAGGAGGTAAGTAGGCCGAGTTCACGGGGTGTTCTATTATTGAACTGAAGATACATTTCCGTTATCTCTTTGCCAGACAGGCCTATGAGGGAATGACAATTTGTTAATTTTCAAAGTTCAGCCCCTATATGCAGGAAGAGAAATCTCATTCATTCACTTCCTTTGAGGATTAGAAAAATATGTACAGAAGACACTGTTGACAAAGAACTGCGAATGCTTCGATGAACTCTACCGGAAAGCGGTTTCAAGTTAAGATTCATAGATAAGAACATAAAGTCAAAGAACCCAACTGAACGAATACATTTGGTGCCATAAGAGACTCTTTTATCGAATCTAAAATTCAAAAATGGCATTGCTGAAGAGATCCTCAGGAAACAACTGGCAAAATTCTTAAGTAGGACATACTTCACTGCTAACGTTCGGATTGTTTTCTCCTGCAGGAAATCTTTTGGTCAATGTGTGAAAGATAAACCGATGCATTGGGTTACATCAACGTGTGTATACCAGTTTACTTGCTTTTGTGGAGCTGAGTACATCGACCATGCCATGCGTCCACTTGTAAAACGTGCCCGCGAACACTACCAAGGCTGACTGGCAAATGGATAATGGAAATATGTCTTCAGTTCAATAACAGAACACCTCGTGAACTCAGGCCACTTAGTTCCTTTTCAGAGCTCATCCAAAATTCTCTACAGGGTTCGATCAAACCACTCGAAGTGAGTAAGATCAGGGCATTTGTCTATAGCTGAAGTACTAGCCATCCAGAAGTTCAAACCAGCGTAATGCGTCCAAAAACGGTATGTCTAACCTTTTTCTTCGCTATGGGCATCATAAGTTTGAAAATTGGTCATTTTCTTATTCTATAATGGTTCATTCCAGTAAGCTAATCAGATTTAGTGGGATTGAACCACTCAATTCTGTGTACAGAATGATTTCAGACATTCTGCTGATTCTGAGAGACTTTAAAAGCCAACCTAACAACTGTCGAGAAAATCAATCGCTTTCCCCAATTTTATGAAAAACCACTTTGATAGCGGGAATACAGAAACCTCATTGGCTAGTTTGGCAGTTGCTGAGGCAGCCTTTAAAGTCCCCCCTGATTTTTATTACCGTAAACAAGTGGAACGGTCATTTAGTGCTTAAAATCGAGTGACTTTAAGAGTCACCTTAGCAACTGATGAAACATCCAATAACATTTCTCCATTCTATGAAAAATGGCATTCGCAGACAAGATACCGCAACCTGACTGGTTATTTTGTCAGTTGTTGAGATGACCTTTAAAATCATCTGGATTGGCCCAGCAATAAATATACGGATCAGTATTTGTCATTTCTCACTCTCTATATTCTTCAATGTCACACATACTTCAAAAGAAGAGAAAATGGAAATACACTCAGCAATCATATACACACATATGTAGTAAACAATGATTCACATTTGTTGTGCGAGGGATAACGGTACTTCCTACCTAGCTGTCCAAATGTAGGTGAATGGAACCGATTACGAACCCGTGAAGTCGAGTACCAAACCCAATGAGCAATAACTCCATGGAATCATTTTAATGATTGTTTGAAAAGAAAATGATCCAGACATAACAGGAATGCGTTTTTATCATCAGCGCGAGAATAACCTGGGGTACGCATAATTAGTACACACTAATCGCCATTCATTTTGTGGGCTATCAAATGTCTTGGGGAGAGGTTTAAGATTGTTCATCATCGGAGACTATCGGTAAGTTAACCAATGAACAGAAATGTGCAGTAGGATGAAGATCTAACTGACAGCACCTCAATAAAGAATTTACTGTCTCTGAGTTGTAACCCTATGCGTGCGTTGAATGGAAGTCAAAATTGAGATAACAAGTTGGCATTCATCCCGAACTGATATCAGTTAGAGGGACATAGAGAACCTGAAAGGACTGAACAGCTGTTTCGTCCTAGCACAGGACCCTCAGCAGTGCGCACCCATGACCCCGCGCTCCACGGATCGAACCCACGAACTTCAGGTTCCGCAGTCAGCACGTTACTATGGACCCACTGAGTCGGCGGAATCCAATGTTCCATATTTCCAACTTCTGTCAGTTCGTGACACAGCACGATCATCACCCGATGTCATCATTGAGTGTCTTCACATCCAGCAGGTTTGCCCCACTAGTCACAACTTCTCATTGGAAATTCAGGAATCACCTCTCAAAGTTAGTCACTAATGAGCAATAGATTATTGATTTCAAGTCGGTATTCCCCACAACCCCTAAAATAGAATTAAGAGATTAGCTATTATACCAACTATCCTAATTCCATTCAACTTTGTTATTGGAGTAATTCAGTTTCATTTTATACTAGTTGAAATCAGTTACAGTTATAAACAATCTGATGACAGACAATTTCACTTCTAGACCCATTTTACTCTGTCGATCATGAGGTACTGTGGCATTGTCTGACTGTGAAGCGAGTACCGAACAAGTATATAATGATTATCAAGGATCTCTACTCGAACTCATGCAGCCGTGTAAGGCTAATGCAGGCGGTGTCCACCAGGGATGTCCACTGTTACCGTTCTTATTTAACTTTGTCATAGACCTACTAATGAACATAAGCTTAGGAAAGTCTGACGTCATGGAGATTGACCTGCTCCCTAAAGGTCATCTGGTTGACTTTGATCATGCAGATGATATTGTCGTGTCAGGTAGAGGCGCTGACAAAATGCAGGATCTTATGAGCGCCTTGATCAGAAATCTAAGTATGAACGACATGTATTTCACTAGCACCTGTCAAATGTAAGGTGATGGATACTTCATGACTGACTGGTCTGCGACAGGGATAACAGATGTCTTCGCAGTATTGTTCATTTTTGGTGAAATCACCGTGCCAGCAATACTGAGCTAAGATGAAGGGTAGTAGACAAGTAAGGCAATTCGATTGATGAGGTTGTGAACCTTAGTTGACTGAGATGGGATTGGACATGGACTGCGCATGCAATGCAATGCTAGGGGAAGCAAGATTAGGTTGGAAGAGTGTTCAGGGTGACCAGATCAAAACCTGATAACAATTGATGAAATCTCAGTCGATTTAGGTGATGTAGACTATCTGGCTAAGCCCCCCAATACAATAAGGATCAGTGTCTGAAGACTCTTAGTGATATGACTGAAAATCGGTCACAATGGTGTAGATGTATTCGCTCCTTGACATTTTCTAAAGCTTAAATATTTGAAGTAACATTCATCTTCAAGTTGTTTGTTCTCTCATAAAACTTCGCCTACTATGATATTAGAATTGCTCTATCCTCCTGTTACAAATTGAGTAAAAATGGAAACACCTTGTTGATGAAATCATTGACAAAATAGCTTTTGAAATATTTTGGCCTGAAGCCAAGAAATTTTTAGGATAGGTTTCTCGCCTTCTATATAAAAGATACTACCATTTTACTATTAATGAAATCTGAGTATTCATAAAAAGAGCTGATCAACTTTTATCAATGTTTAATTTGAAGCGAAAGGAGACAATCGGATTTCATCCAAGAATTGGGTATACAACACACTAAGCCCGAATAGCTCAGTGATAACATCACTGGCTGCAGGTGAAGTAGGTTCGAATCTCAGATGGGAAATCAGTCTCTTAGCAAGGTTCTACATATGCCTTGCTGACGAATGTTAACACGCGGGAAACCTAAATCCATGGCTCCCTGTCAATTGCCTCCATTTAATTAACATTTATCAAAGTGCATCGCGATGCTCAGCCTCCTAGCCTGGTGGCTGCATGGCAATTATGATCGATTGAATTCAGTGTGCACTCAGGACTAGACAATATGAATTTGGTTCCTTTCACTTGACCAATCAATATATGTAAGCTAGTCATAGAGAAGGTGAATCGCGGCCCAAATACCACAGTGGTAAGGTGCTTGACTGCAACTATGTGATGCGAGATCGAATCTCAGGTGGGAAATCAGTTCAGCCGAGATTAAAGATACGCCTTGCTGATGAGTGCCAACAAGCAGGAAACCTAAATCAATGGCTTTCTATCAATTGCCTTCATCCAACTAGTAATCTGTTCTGTTAGCCAGGAGTGGAAAAGAACCACTTAAAAATGGATAACACAAAACCACTGAGAAATTAGACTACAACGGCTTTAGAAGTGCCACTCGTGTATAATCGAACATTTCGGTTAATCACAAACTGCTGAGTAAAAAATTTTGCACCAATGAAAGTTGATGTAATCTTTAGCACACGTTTTACTCTAAAAATTGGTGCTGTAAATGCAAGTATGAAGTAAGATATTAGAAAAAAAATTTGCACAAAACAATAACAAGACTTAGATTATCTGAAACGTGTAATAGATTAGCATAATACATTTTGAGCGGACAAAATACACACTAGGCAATAAGTCACGCTTATTGTTTATGAAGGCTGATGATACTACCTGGTTGCCCAAATCTTTGTAGATGGAGCGGTGTTCGAACCTGTGACTCAATGGTTGAAAGTCATCTCCCTAAATCCTTGAGTTATAGCTCCACATTCCGAGCAATCTGGTCAAACGCTTAATTATACATATATAATATAGTGAAAGATAGATAAATAAGTCGAAAATATCCATGGATTCTAAGAAAACTTGTTGGTTTAGGGGTCGAACTACTGATGGAAAGAGAATGTTAATACATCATTATTTATTATTATTTGTCCTTTGGATTCCTAGTGGAAAATAGGGCTTCACTATCACATAGCCATTTTCACTCTCTCTCTCTCCTCTCTGCAGTCTTTTTAACACTGCTCCACCACTGTCCACAAGCTGTCATTTCTTCCTCACATCATCTCCTCCATGTCACCCTCAGCTGGGACGCCCAACTCGTCGTTTCCCATGCAGGTCCCACTCGACGGCCTGGTCTGCTGCGTGATGTCCCCAATCGGTCTTCTCAGTGTATACCCAATCCAATTCATCTCCACTTCCCTCTTCTGCATATTTGTTGGGTGATAGGTTCTTGCTTCGTTGGTTCGTTGCCAGGCCAGAGTTCCTTGTTTCTTATTCTTATTATTCTGGTCATCTGATCTCCATCTTCAGTATCGAGTGAGTGTATGCCTGCAGTTTGTTGGAAATGCTTCTCATAACGCATCAAGTCTCTCAACCATCACATAGAAGCATTAGCCTGACTGACATTAGTAGTGTTTAAAATCCGGATCTTTTTTATGCGCGGTGCAGTGCAGTGCAGTAGATCTCCACACTGATTTCAGATTAATTCAGGGAGGCCTGTCTTGCTGTCTTTCTGATCCTGGCTTTGACATCCCCCTCTGTACCACCGCATGTAGTTTAGACAATACTGCCTAGGTAAGTTAATACATAAATCACCCTTGATATTAAAGCTGATTTATGAAACGAGGTATATTGTAAATACAAATTGTTTTCGAGTGCATAAAAGAGGCAGAAACTTCCTAATCTAAGTGTATATAACCTCAATAAGTTTAAAATCATTCATATGATCCATTTCAATGAAATACTTAGCCATAGACGAAGTTGGACATCTATTGGTTGCGTCAATAGGATCATGCAATTTCATTTGTTATTGCAGCCATTTTATAATGTGCTCTGTATGTGTGTCACCCCACATAACAAAATAATAATGAACAACACTTACCAAACATTGAAAACAAACTGCAGACAGTATAATTAATGTTCCACGCCATGTGAATAAAACAATTAAACGTGGTATAGCCTGACCACCAATTAAACAACCCATTCCACTGCCACATAATGCTAAACCAACAGCTAATGGACGCTTTTGTTGAAACCAATGACCAACAGTAGCTATAGCCGGTAAGTATATAAACGATAGGCCGATACCTATTTGGAACATGAAAGAGAGAAAGACAAAAAAAATGAGTAGTAAGCAAAAGTAGTCAATAGTAAATAGCACATCCAAGGTGAGTAGCTGGAGGAAGAAGAGTAATCATACAGTCAGATGGTTTACATACAGTATCACTACTCAAAATGATATGGGTGGATTCGAAGTAAGATAGATAGATGTTAGTCACTAAGATGAATGCAACATCATGAATACCCGGCAGTATTGAGGCATCTGCTAACAGAGGTCAAGCAATTCGACCATGAATGTCAACAGGAAATTACAAGTATCAATAAACAGCTGATATCCGTCACGCAAGTGATGGTTATCGTGCCCCAGTGGATAACATTTTGGCAGTTGAAGTAATAGGTACTGTGTACGAGTCTCAATAGGAACAACATTACTAATCACTGGGGTGCAGCTACATCCAGCTGACGGGTCTGAAATAGGATTAAATGTGCGTCCTGGATCCCACTACTAGTAAGACAGAAGGGATTGTAGCCAGGCTGGATAAAGAAATTACATGAAGTCAATTCAGGACTGAGGTGTTTAACTCACACAGCGTTTCCGTGTCTACAATCCGCAGAGGACCTGGCATTATTGAATATCGATGCAGGTTGAAACACTTTCTATTATTACATAGGAGCGAAGGCAACTAAGATGAAAGACAGTGGAACAGAAATAATATCAAACACCTTGGAGGTTATAAGACTGAATAGAAATGGTATAGGAAGAAATGAAAACGTTTGGTTGAAGAAAAAATGGGTGAATGAACGAGTGTAACTCAAGTATGTGCACTAGTCAATGAGTCACACCAATCTTATGACGACTGATGATACTACTCACCTGTTGAAACCTTGATAGATGAAGTAATATCCAAACCTACAACCCATCGAAAGAATTTCAACTGTCTAGACAAGCGAATCACAGCTTCACACATACAAAACAGTAAGACATTCGGGATTTAGATACGAATGTAGCATGGACGAATCTGGACCATTTGATAGGTAGCGACAAAAAGGCAGCCAATAGAGAAATTGCTTTCAGATCATGATTTATACATGTACTGACATGAGTTAACCTGATTGGACAAATTCGAAGTATTACAACCAATCGGATTGGTTTATTTATGGCTTCATTTTTTAGCGGTTTTGTAAATATATACATACCATATACTCGTCTAACAGTTGTTGTTGTCCCTGCAGCCACGGGCCGTTTTTTGTCTTCTGATTTTTGCGACTCGGTGAAGTATAGAGTGTGGGGGAGAACAGTCGTATTACTCGCATCTAGTCCAAGTATCTCGTTCGCTTATTATTAGAATTTATGTCATAACCCGCTCCCCCCAACTCAGTCACATCAATATTGCCTAAATTCTTTTACCCACTATTCTTTTTGTCTTGGGGATTCCAGTCAAACGACCTACATGGCTCGGAGCAACAGTCACAGACTTCATAGACTGGAGCTACACTACGATCTGGCTATCAACACTATTCTTTCAGACGAAGCCTAATCCAGCTAATACATCACATTGAAGTAGATGATGGATAGATACGCATACGATAAGCTCGAAACACCTCAGTCGATGTAACGTTCACAACCTAACAAACCACCAGTTTAAGCATATGAATATCCTACTATGTCAGTCGTCCAGAATGAAGCAACTCAGTTGTGAAAACTGTTAAAAATGGATTTAGAAAATTATAAAAATGTTTCAGTCAATTCTAATTAATTATTAATATCCTATTTGAGTCAAGTGATCCAATAATAGTGATCATAGGACTTCACTGTCTACTAATCAATGTCATGCTGTTATATTTATTGAATCTTTGGGGTTGAATGAATTCGACCGATTGATTGTAGGCGCATAATGTGACCAACAGAGTGAATGAAAGATCGATTGTGTATAATTAGGACCTACAGAGAGGAACATCTTCAAAACTCCTGTAATTAGCAATTTAGATGATACAGACTAAGTTTCCTGATGAGTATCCAGAGGGACGAAAACTAGTCAAAGTACAACTGTTTACAGATTGCTTTCCAATCATTAGACACTTGATTCCATATTCGATTTGTTTATTTGATTTATAAAACACAGTGATATAGTATTATTCACTTGATGACGTTACGAGCAGAAATTATCATTACTCATAATCGTATCAATGTAATCACACACCACTTTCGACATTTCATTTTCAAGTTGTTATTCATCATAGACTGACATCAGTTGGAGGAACAAAGGAGACCTGGGAGCACTGGACAGCTGTTTCGTCCTAGTATGGGACTCCTCAGCAGTGCGCACCCATGACCCCACCAGCAGGGATCGAACCCGCGACCTTCAGGTTCCGCGACCAGCGCGTTACCATTGAGCCACTGGGTCACAATCCAATGCTCCATATTTCCAACTTCTGTTAGCTCACGGTATAGCGCAAACCGCCACCCAATGTCATCGTTGAGTATTTGTCCTCACGGCCATCAGGCTTTGACTCCACCGGTCACGACTTGTCATTGGAACTTCGGGAATACTTCTCGAAGCTAGTCACCAACGTGCACTAGTTCAATTAAATTTTGAGGGGGTTGTGGAGATTTGGAAATATTTCAAGTTGTTATTCATCGAAGACTGACATCAGTTGGAGGAACAAAGGAAACCTGGGAGCACTGAAATATTTCCAAATCTCCACAACCCCCTCAAAATTTAATTTCATTTTCATAGTTAAGCCACCTCATATGAGTTGCCTTACTTGGTAGCAAAATCTTTCATATCTCCGGTATAGGTGTTGCGTCATTTTCATTACATGTGTTGGGTGTTGCCTGATTCGATGAACAAAGATTCAGTAACCAATCACTCCTCGTCTTTCTCTCTCCACCTAATTATATTGGACTTGAGTACAGTGGCTTTTTCCCACCCTATTGTGTGGTTGTGTGTTAATGCATGTATAGCAATAGCCAAGTTTTTTCTAGATTATTGATCTTATTCGGGTCTGTCATCCTATATTTAGTTAAATTCCTTATATTCGGCTATTCTAACTGACCCCGACTGGTTAGTTTGACCCATGTACTTGACCTCGCAGTCATTGCATGGAATTTGATAGATTACATTGTTTTGCTTAATTGGTTCTGTCGAATCCTTAAGCTAGACGACAAAGCTTATCTCTAAGTGAGTTTGTAGATTTAAATTCTACCCGAATTCCAGCTTTATGGTAACACAACGGAGGCTATGAACTCCTTTCTGCTCGTGTTGTCGTTATTATTCGTACTCATGTTACTGTTATCTTTTCGTTTCTTGTGTGTTCGTGCAAATTTCTGAATCAAGTGCAGAGGATAATTATTAACTATTAGTGCTTCTTTTACGTGTTTCGATTCCTTTTTTTAGGTCCTTGGACTAACTAGTCAGTTTTGTAGCTGTATCATTTAGACATTTGACTAAACCTATCTTAACTGACATTGGATGAGATGACTTGAAGTCTAGATACCTGTTGGAATGTATCAGTTAGCCTTAGACGATAGTATCCAAACCATCGTTTGTCCTTCGTCTTATCTTGCAATCCAACATAGGTAATTCTCTTTGTTCATTTTCTACCTCATAGGTGAATTGAATTGCGCTTACTGCTGAGTTTATATGTGTGAGAAAATTGTCGATGTGTCATCCACATATCGCCACCACATTTTTGGTGCAGAACTAAACCTTTGCAAAGCCATCTTTTCCAAACTATCCATAAATATATCTGCTTCGATTCGAGATATTGGCGATCCCATTGTTACTCCTTCTGTTTGTCTGTATGTTATGTCCTGAAACTTGAAGAGTGTTGAGGTCAGGCACAACTGTACGCCTAATATGATCTCATCAACCGATATCTTAGTTCTCTGATTAGGTTCTGAGTTGATATTTAGTTGACTTCGGATAAAAACAAATAAAAGTTTTAAAAATTCCCATCATGTAAATTAGAACAAGACATATATAAGCGAACGATATTGTTTTCAATTAGATCATCTTCAGACTTTACTCTAGTACAAATATATATATAAAGATGGTGATAATAATACAAATAGTAATAATGATAAAAGTAATGCACTTTTGAGACGAACGGAGATTTTTAATTCAGGAGTAGTATTCATCATGGACTAACATCAGTTGGGGGACCATTGAAAATCTGGGAGCACTCGACAGCAGTTTCGTCCTAGTATGGGACTCCTCAACAGTACACACCCACGACCCGGCTAGAGATCGAACTCAGAACCTTCAGGTTTCACGGCGACTGAGTTGACCATTCAGCTGCTGGGTCGGTTTCCAGTGGTTCACAATTTCCAACACGACATAGCACGACTATCACCCAAGGTCTTCAGTTAGCATCCACTTCACTTACGACTGGTTGACCCCACAGGTCATGGCTTCTCATTACACCTTCCTGACATCCATCTGGAAGCAAGTCACTAATGTTAGTTCATGATGAATACTACTTCTAAATGATAAAAGTGATAATGTTGACTAAAGCATATACAATATAGATGATAATGATGATGCTAAGAACCAAGAAAGCAGTATGAAAATGTAGACACTCCGATAATAAACGTGGGTGAAAAGCTTACTTGGGAAAGTGTCAGGTAAGTATATAAAAAAAACCTACACAAATGCAGTAAGTATAAGAAAGGGGTAGGTAAAAAAACTTAATGATAAATATTCCCTGGCCAAGGGAGAGATAAGGGATGTACAAATTTCTTCTGGATACAAATACTAGGATTATTAGCTCGAATTCCTATAGCTTCTGCTATGTGTAAAAGACAAGTTTGAATACATTTCGAAAGATGAGATGATATGCGGTGAGTAGTCGTGAAAGCATTGTTCTTATCTACCAAGTGACCACTATCAACGAAGTAAGATAAAACCGAGCTTCTTATGAAAAGCTATTTATATTAGAGTAAAGCCTGAAAAGGATCTAATTGAAAACAATGTTGTCCGCTTATATGTCTTGTTTTAAAACAAATAAAAGCAAATCATGTGATT